GCTTTTTACTGTACTACGGCTTCCATTTTTTATGGATTTTTTGTCAAAGCACTTAAGATATTCATTGCTATCGGGATGTTAAGAGCATTCCATGGAATATAACAAAAAGTGTATCTCGAGCCGGTTTCTCAAACTTACCTACCCCACTTTTAAGTGAAGTTTTCTTGGTTTTTGGGGAAGCAGACTATTAAAGATGTATAAACAGATTGAAATGACGACAGACAGACAGAAGGACATACACATAGACAGAAGGATATATAGATTAAACATGTATTAATCCAGCTAGCGAATGAGAGAAAGTGGTTTAGAAAGGTTCCTAATTTAGTTAAATTACCAAAGTAATCTAAGTGGCCAAAATAAAAAGAGATGATGTTGTCCAACAATTTTTGTATTGCTGCTGTTCACATATACAGATTTTCATCGTTGGCAAATTAAGATGTTGTAAGTTAACAGGAGCTTAATAACCATTTCCGTCTTATAAAAAAACTTGCTAAATGCTTGTATACAGTATTCTTAAAGGGCCCATGTCATGGCCATTTCTACTGATCATAATTCCATTGTTGTGGTATACTAAAATAGATTCATACTGAGCAATTTTCCAAACTCACATTGGTTTCTCATACAGCATCTCTGTAAAGTACAGTGGGGCAAAAAAGTATTTACTCAGCCACCAATTGTGCAAGTTCTCCCACTTAAAAAGATGAGAGAGGCCTGTAATTTTCATCCTAGGTACACTTCAACTATGAGAGACAGAATGGGGGGAAAGAATCCAGGAAATCACATTGTAGGATTTTTAATGAATTAATTGGTAAATTCCTCGGTAAAATAAGTATTTGGTCACCTACAAACAAACAAGATTTCTGGCTCTCACAGACCTGTAACTTCTTCTTTAAGAGCCTCCTTTGTCCTCCACTTGTTAACTGTATTAATGGCACCTGTTTGAACTCATTATCAGTATAAAAGACAACTGTCCACAACCTCAAACAGTCACACTCCAAACTCCACTATGGCCAAGACCAAAGAGCTGTCAAAGGACACCAGAAACAAAATTGTAGACCTGCACCAGGCTGGGAAGACTGAATCTGCAATAGGTAAGCAGCTTGGTGTGAAGAAATCAACTGTGGGAGCAATTATTAGAAAATGGAAGACATACAAGACCACTGATAATCTCCCTCGATCTGGGGCTCCACGCAAGATCTCACCCCGTGGGGTCAAAATGATCACAAGAACGGTGAGCAAAAATCCCAGAACTACACGGGGGGACCTAGTCAATGACCTGCAGAGAGCTGGGACCAAAGTAACAAAGGCTACCATCAGTAACACACTACGCCGCCAGGGACTCAAATCCTACAGTGCCAGACGTTTCCCCCTGCTTAAGCCAGTACATGTCCAGGCCCGTCTGAAGTTTGCTAGAGAGCATTTAGATGATCCAGAAGAGGATTGGGAGAATGTCAGATGAAACCAAAATAGAACTTTTTTGGTAAAAACTCAACTAGACGTGTTTGGAGGAGAAAGAATGCTGAGTTGCATCCAAAGCACACCATACCTACTGTGAAACATGGGGGTGGAAACATCATGCTTTGGGGCTGTTTTTCTGCAAAGGGACCAGGACGACTGATCCGTGTAAAGGAAAGAATGAATGGGGCCATGTATCGTGAGATTTTGAGTGACAACCTCCTTCCATCAGCAAGGGCATTGAAGATGAAACGTGGCTGGGTCTTTCAGCATGACAATGATCCCAAACACACCGCCCGGGCAACGAAGGAGTGGCTTCGTAAGAAGCATTTCAAGGTCCTGGAGTGGCCTAGCCAGTCTCCAGATCTCAACCCCATAGAAAATCTTTGGAGGGAGTTGAAAGTCCGTGTTGCCCAGTGACAGCCCCAAAACATCACTGCTCTAGAGGAGATCTGCATGGAGGAATGGGCTAAAATACCAGCAACAGTGTGTGAAAACCTTGTGAAGACTTACAGAAAACGTTTGACCTCTGTCATTGCCAACAAAGGGTACAGTGGGGCAAAAAAGTATTTAATAAGCCACCAATTGTGCAAGTTCTCCCACTTAAAAAGATGAGAGGCCTGTAATTTTCATCCTAGGTATACCTCAACTATGAGAGACAAAATGAGGAAAAAAATCCAGAAAATCACATTGTCTGATTTTTAAAGAATATATTTGCAAATTATGGTGGAAAATAAGTATTTGGTCAATAACAAAAGTTAATCTCAATACTTTGTTATATACCCTTTGTTGGCAATGACAGAGGTCAAACGTTTTCTGTAAGTCTTCACAAGGTTTTCACTCTCTGTCCTAAACGGCTTGTTGGAGCTCCAGCCCCCCCCCTCCCTGTGAGCCCAGTGTGCTCTGATTGGTCGGGACGTTGCGAGGCTTGTTGCGAGGCTTGTTGCGAGGCTCGTTGCGAGGCTCGTTGCTGCGAGGAGCAGACAGGCTTGCTGGTCGGCGATACAGCGAGAACAAGCAAAACTCATCCTGAGCACACACAAACACTCACAGCCGAAGTAAAAACAATAAGTGTGGCTTGATATTGAGTAAGAAAAAGGTTTATAACGCTGTGAGAATGGGTCTGCGGAGAGCATTTCTCCGCGATCCCAACTTAGCATACCTTGTTTGTTTTAAACATCATAAATACACAATCAACAATGAATACTTACAGGTTGTGTACCCGAATCTCCCGCTGGTCCAAACAAAGTAGGAACAGCATCGTTCTTCAGTGCCCTACGCTGTACGTATCCGGCATGAATCGCTGAAAGGTTTGTGAAGCTTTGTTTCGTGAAATGCTGTCAGAGGGTGTGGCCTCTGGGTATTTATTTATTTAAATTATTGACCCATAAGACTATGGCGTCCTGATTAATTGTCCCTCACATCTTTCCTCAACCTCAGGCCTTTTCTCATCGAAGTCAAGAAAGAAAAAAGACATTGGACCTGATCATAATCTTTCAGGTGTTACCTTTGGTTATCCATTGACCCATTTCTGAGCATTGTCTCCCACTGCTTACCTATCGATAGTCGTTGTTACCATAGAGACCACACCGGGTGGCCGTGGCTCGGGAAAACGAGCGGATTTTCCATTAGTCGGAAGGTTGAGAGGTTTGATACTTGGGAAAGATAAAGAACCCCAAATTGCTGCCCAAGGCATACTGAAGCTGTCCATGTTTGTGAATGAGCATTAGATACGATTTAATGCATTTGTACACCTTGGCAGCCCTCCTATCAGTGTAACATGTGTTAAAGGGTAAATGTTGTAAAAGTGCTTTGAGTGGTAAAAGTGGACAAGTAAGGTGCAAAATGAATGCAAGACCATTTACAGACTGCACTCTCTGATGAATAGAGCCTATATACAGCTCTAAAAAAAATAAGATCACTGCACCATTGTCAGCATTGTCAGTTTCTCTGGTTTTACTATTTATAGGTATAGGTGTTTGAGTACAATTTGAATGTTTTATTTTATTCTATAAACTACTGACAACATCTGTTTGTGTTGGAATTCAACAGACACTGGAATTGAATAGCTGCCATAGATTGAAGTTTAAGAAAAACTTGGAGTGGTCTCTTCCTTGTGTGTGTGTGTGTGTGTGTGTGTGTGTGTGTGTGTGTGTGTGTGTGTGTGTGTGTGTGTGTGTGTGTGTGTGTGTGTGTGTTCACTGCAGTTGCCACTTCTTCTGTTTATAATTCAGTCTTAAAACTCTGATATGTAAGACTTCAAAATGTTCTCACTTTGGTGACTCCCAGTGGTGGTATGTATTGGGCCAATCTCTAACTACCTATTCTTCCTGAATATTTTAAAATTAATTGGGGACATTATTTGACTTGTATCTGTGATTGTATGTTAATGAAAATATCTCATTGACCAAAAAAAATAGACCTTTGGAGTCTATGTGCTTTATTTAACCAGAGAGCTTTTGTAATGAATTCAAAGGGCTCTTACTCCCACTTCAACCACCTACAAACACACGCACACACACACTCTTTCATTTCAATTTTTCTCAAGACTCTCACCCTCTGTGGTTGCTTTCAACACATATAGTATGCCTGTGACCTGTCCACAACAAACCTGCCACGGTAACAGCCAAACAAATCCTTAATTATGCATAGAGGTTCTGCAATTTTCTGTAATCAAAGTCCTTGTCCCTTGAAGACTCAGTGAAATGGAGGTGAAGTGCCCCTGGTGCACTTTACCCCGTATGTGCTGATTAACACTGATTTAAGACTTCACTTCAGCAACAATTCACTGCAATAAAAGGTTTGTACAGGTGTCTGCCTCTGCTCCCATTCAAATCAGTTACAATGTGAACAGATTATAGCCACCAAACACTGAAGGATTAAGCGAGATAAACATTATCTCCCAATTTTAATAACAGTTGATGAAAAAATAACAATTCAGTATAATTAATGTTATATCATGTATAATGTTTGAATATAACTATCTAATTAGAGCTAAGAAAAACGAACAAAAAGTGTTAAGATGATTGATTAAGTCATTTCCCCAGCAAAACGTTTGACGTCTTAAGTAAGAATTTGCTGAATTTAAAGAACAAATGGGATACTTCTCTAAACACATAGTTGGCCACAAATATCAGTTTTTCAAATGTGGTGACTAATTCTACTTAGCATTTATGTTGTTTTTTTTAAATCCAAAATGGATGCTAGGGAGAACTATCTATGCAAATAAAATGAAGGAAAAAAAGTCAACATTAACAAAAAGATTCGGATGAACTGCAAATTGAGGCAAACACATGCTATTTAGTTTTTCATTTATTTAATCAACATTTCTGTACATTTGCCAGAATTAGCCAAGAGGACAGGACAGCTTTTGTAAGTCAACCTGAAGACACATTTCATTTTAAACAAGTAAATACAATCAAATAAAAACATGCAACATACAGTACTGGAAATCTTAATATATCATAAGCTGCCGGAACCCATAAATGGTCAAGAGACGAAATAATATAGACTCAGTTTCTTGTTCTGTTTTACCCCTCTCTCAGGCGTTGTCTCCCTGATCTCCCTGGCCGTTCTGTCCTACGAGCGCTACTGCACCATGATAAAGCCCACCATCGCTGATGGCAAAGACTTCCGCCCAGCGCTTGGAGGGATCTGCTTCTCTTGGCTCTACTCTGTGGCCTGGACTGTGCCCCCACTGCTGGGCTGGAGCAGATATGGGCCCGAGGGTCCTGGCACCACCTGCTCAGTAGACTGGAGGACTCAGACGCCAAACAATATCTCGTACATTGTCTGCCTGTTCACCTTCTGCCTGGTCCTGCCCTTCAGCGTTATTCTCTACTCCTACGGCAAGCTGCTGCACGCCATCAGACAGGTGCGAGTATGCAAATGTACTTCTTACAAAGTCCTTTTGTTAAAATATGTTGTATATCTCAGTGGAAGTGAGCTAGTTAATGCACTTCAAGGTAGTTTTGACAACAATAAATGCATTTATGAGTGATTCAAATTCAACCCCAGCAGTGCATTCCCTAATATTTGACATAAGATGATCCACTTATGTATCAAAAGCCTCTAGCTAGTCTAAATATTTCATTCAGGGCTGTGAAGTTTACAAAAGAAATGGAGCCATGTATCAGCTGACCTTTCAATCTGCCATCAGATGTACGCTCAACAAAGTTGTCTATTAAAGCTGCTTACACCAGTGAATTATTTCAACATCTGTTTTGAACTGTTGCTGTCTCTTAGAGATGCCCCTGTGAGATTGTTCTCAAGTGTTGCTAGCCTTCTTCTTGTATGTAAGGTAAACCTTGATGCCAGACGACGCACAAGAGAGCTTAGGATGATAACCATATTTTCCTCACATTGTTTCTTAACCGATAAAATGTTGTGTCTGCTTCTCTCAGGTATGTTCTGTAAGATTTATTTTTAAAACTTTAATGGTGGCACTTGTATTATCCAAATAGTTTTACCCTTATGAATTGTGAAAGTTTAGGAAATACATGTAATACATGTCAAGATGCAGTTTGTAGGTGAGTACAAATGCTTGCTTAAACATATTGTTTGTACATGTATGGTAGGGTTTAATCTTGAGATAGAGTTGGCAAGCGAGAAAGAACATAATCTAAAATGGTATTTGTTCTACAAAAGTGAAGAAGTAGTCCAAGTGAGCCTTAAAAAGGATCCATGGCAGCCTTAATTGAGAGCTTGGGTGTTTGGACTTTTCCTTTTCTTTACTTGCTGGACTTTGACTGTGATTTACTGGTATTCCCTTCTACACCTTATTTGAAATGCCTCACAATTTCTTGCCACTACCGTTTACAGAGAGCTCTCCAGGCTGATGTTATGGAGCCTGGTCCAGGCACAGCACTGTTTGTTTGATAAGCATGAGCTGCTTCACTTTCAGTTGGTCATCAGTAGCTGGTTGGCTACCAGATGACGAGTACAGCTAGTCACCTTTGTCATAGTCTGGCTCACCAAATGTAAACTGTGTGGTATAAGCCTGCCATGGTCATTTGTTTCAGTACAATACCTTGTTTTTACACTAACTCTTCCCTTTAAAGTTCTGCTCATTGTGTACATTATTAATTTACACGGCATCTCTGTCTGCAAAGTGTTGCTTTTGTTGAGTTTAGGGTTGACTTTGTTTGTGGCCATGAACCACACTCTATGAGAGCTAGGTGCTGATGTGTTGGTGCTGTTTGCACAATCATTTAGTGGGAATGCTGACACAGCATTCCAACTATCTGTTATGCTACGCACAAAATTCTTTATTATTCCGCCGGGTTATTTTGCGCCTCTTCTTCTCCCACATTGAACATCGCAGAAACTACGTTCAAACATCAAAACGTTCAGCTCGGTCGGGAAACGATGGCTATTACTTTTATCATTCATAACTTTCATAATTCCAGAGATACATCCCATAATTCATCACATTTTTAACATGGAAGTCAATGGAGAAACTCTTCAGACTTGAACAATCTTCATGCAACTTCAACTGCTAACTGGTTTTTCATACTTTCACTCTGAAACCTCATTCCAACTTTAAAATGTTACACATCTTTCTGACATTATTCGTGTAACACAACTTTTAAATCTGATTCTTACTTTTAGAGATATTAAACATTGTTCAGACCTTGGTAAAGAGGCCTTCTTCAGATTTTAGAGTGCGTGATGTCACAGCTAGAGTGGAGGACAGATTTAATTTTGCCTTCATATTTTCTTTTAAACCTGCCATAATTCCCAAACGCTACATTCCTGAGACATAATTTGCCATGCCAAATGTAGGAAAACATCTCGTAGCTTGAAAGATAAAAAATAATTAAGCAAAATAATTAAACAAAATGCCTCTTGCGGGCATGAAGTGACAAAAACATTCAACATGTCTCCATTAAACCCCATTGTAAGTTCAGCCTCACCTTTCCCCACCACAGCAGCCGCACACCTTTAGTTAATCTGCCAAAAAGGCCACATTATTAACCCGAAAGTACACAAAAAGCACACTTCAGATGCTCAAGTTCCTTGACATGCTTCACGCTTTGAAATTTCACCGATATCTGTTACGGTTCTTCAACAAAACGTTCACATGTAAGAGGTTTATCTCTCATTCAGAACAATGAAAATGCTCTCCTCTCACTGATCACCATGGAAATCTTTGATCTCTGGACACGTCATTAGCTCAAATATAAACACCTGTGTCATGGAACACGATGATGTCATAACTCCAATTGACATAATTAGAGCAGCAGACTAATCACGTGGTCACTGAAGTTTAAGCCTCTTCTTTTCCGTCTGATGGAGACTTCATACTGACTTCAACATGTTCCACATATTTTAGACATTATTGGTGACGTATGCTTTTAGTGACTGGCGGCCCATCAGGAGAGACCGTACAGCTGTGACCAGTGTGTGGGAAGATGGCGCCTGTGTCGGCTCGCCGCTCCCTCAGCTCTCTGCCTTTAGCTATCCTGTTTTTGTTTTATGTTTGTAAGAATGTCTCTGCTCTGCTCGTCCACGATCGCCAAGCTCTCCTCCACCTCAGACTCTCACTGGAGTTTATATTGCTGCCCAATCCTACATCTGGCAACCAGTGGCGTTTTCTCCCGGAGGCCAAGGGAAGCCAGGCTTCCCCTGTTTTTTCGGATTGTAGTTATAATTTAAATAAATAAATAAAAACACTTTGTTTTGTTTAGATAATTCTCCTTTGCTGTGTGTTGCTGCCGGCCCGTCTCTCCCCCATTCTCATTGAGTATTTTACTAAGAGTGAAACAAACAGCGCCCCTCTAGATGTTATGGTGAAACAGTAGATTGCACTCACTGTTGTGAGAGGAGGCCAGCCGAATCTGGCTTCCCTTGGTGAAAAAAAATTGAGGGATTGACCAATCAGATGAGGCCCACGTGATGCCCCTGCCAACCTGTGATTGGTCAGGGCCATGCCAAGGGAAGCCAGCCGCCTCTTGCTTCCCTTCAGAGGCGGCTGGCGATTTGATTGGACACTGCCATCCAATCAAATCACATCAACATCAGTTTTAATACTGTAACTGTCATCACCGCCGTTAGAAATTATCAAGAAAATGAAGCATTATGGAGGGTGGAGATTTGGCATACTTAATCAAACATAACTTTACTAAACTTCCGCTACAGCAGCAACTAAAAATTAAATCAGATGACAGGCCAATGCCCGCACTCGAGCTGTGTGTACAAAAGGGAGAGAATCGGACGTTCAATGAGGACATTTATGTCCGCACGGAGTGGCTAACTGGAAGCGCTAAACTTCAGCGTCTATTTTGCTGGCCATGTTTTTCTTTTTGACAAGGATTCGTGCTCCCTGAACAATCCTTGGGCAACTTCAGGATTCATCGACCTTGCCAACCTGTCACGGGCTATTGAGAGGCACGGTAAATCCAAAAATCACATAGATTGTGTGATTGTCTGCATACATTAATAAGTAAAATGCTTAAATTAATAAGGAGAGAGTTTCAGCTGGAGAGTGCGTGCGGACCTTTCGGTTAGATAACAGGCGTGTGCAAGTCCTGCATCTGTGTGATACAAATGTGTGTAAAATGATACCGGGCGCTGTAATCACTCATCTGGTTACGTTATTGACCACCCCCCCCCCGACCCAAAAAATGGGCTTCCCCTACATTTTTCCCCACGCCACGCTACTGCTGGCAACCATAAATCGTCCCCCCCCTCTACTGTCGGATATTCCCACCTACCTGCGCCGGTTGCCCTGCATCCTGCCTCGCCGAAAGCGCTTTAGACGACGGGGAAAGCGTGGTGGTGCGCTGGTCCATCAAAAAGCATACCTGACGGCTTCTTCTGGGACTCATCCACGCCTCGGATGTCATGGCCCTCCCGCTGTACGCCATGTGAGGGATCGATGGATTCGCCCTGTCTTTCCGGAGCTGCGGCCTCTGCTGGGCCCGCTGACAGCTCCTCCTGCCCGACTGACTGCTCCCGGCCCGCGCGGCGTTCAACATGCACATCTTCGTCAGCTGAGACGCACTACACCTTCGGCAAGCCCGGAGCGAAAACTTTGCATGGGTTTGCTAAATGCTAGGTCGATAGCAAACAAAACTTTCCTGCTAAATGACTTCTTCACTTCTCGTGAACTGGATTTTATGTTTCTGACGGAGCCCTAGGTCAACGCTGGCGAGTATACGCCGTTCTCTGAACTTCTTCCTCCTGACTGTACATTCTTCAGCTCCCCCCGTACCACCGGCCATGGTGGGGGCATAGCATTAGTGTTTAGAGCTAGCCCCAATGCTGATTGCTTCACCCTGTAATAGCTACGCTTTGAGTTGCAGCTTTTTGAACTGAGCCTCGCCTATACGTCTGTGCAGTCGTGTATCGTCCGCCAAAGTGCAATAAGGATTTCATAAATGACTTTTCTGACTTTCTGTCCGGGATCATGGTGAAATTAAAATATGATCGTGTTTTGATCTCCGGATACTTCAATGTCCATGTGTGTTGCGAGTCCAAACCTCTGGTTAGGGACTATTTAAATCTCCTTGATTATTTTGGTCTCGTTCAGTCCGTGGCTGGCCCAACACACGAAAAAGGACACACTTTGGACTTAGTATTATCGTTTGGACTGTCTGTATCTGTGGATGAAATCTGTGCAGCAACGCAGTATCTCAGACCATTTACCGGTTCTGTTTACAACCTCGATCCCTTCCGCAGGAGTCGAATCACGTGCCCCTGCGCGTCGTCTGCGTTCGATTAACCCCTTGATTGCCTCACCGTTTTCTGATGTTTTTAATGCTTCTCCGATCTGTAAATTAGAGGTGAACTGTGCTTTTAGTGCTGATGAGCTTATCTCCATGTTTGACTCGACATGTACCCTAATACTGGATTCTGTTGCTCCTTTTACGC